ATCCAGTCCTGGTGGGGGTGTTGGCGGCGCATGCGTCGTCGCGTGTATCACCGTTGAGAAGGTTCCGCTGTGTCTCGGGAGGTAGGAGGAGTCGGGGTTCTGGGCTGGCTGTCGGCACCCGGGAGGAGAAGGGCCTGTCATCTCGGGCTGTTCTCGCTCTTCTTAGGGGCCAGAACCTTTCTCGCTTGTATCCCACGGTGTCCCCTTCCAGGCCCGTAATCGCGGCGGGGAAGGGCTGGCCTTGGGGGGAGGTGGGGAGGGGAGAGCTGGATAACGCCCTGGTCCCAGCCGGAGCCAGTTTGGCGATAGGGCTCCTCCGTCTGGCTTTAGGGCTGGCAGCAGCCCCTGGCATCTCTTCGCCAGGGAGGCTCAACCCTTTTCATAGGTAGCGGATTGGGAAAAGCGGGAGAGTCGTCCCGCCCTGATTCATTCATTCCCTTTACGCCTGCTGGCAGCCAGCACCTGGGTAGGTACGGTTGATACGAACCCGAGGAGTCCCCTGCCTTCTGGGAGCTTGCAGCCTTGTAGGATCCATTATCATGTCATTCAGCAAAATCGATTGAGCACCTACACGGATGACTGTCTTGAGACTCAACACAGCGTGAGGTTTGCTCTGTCTACTCCCCACATTCAAGAGGGTAAATTTTAGTTTGCTTTAGCCTGGTGTTCCAGGCCCTTGTGACCTGACCTCTGCCTTTCCCTACAGACCTCTTCTGCCCTACCACGTTCTCTTCACTCCGATTATATCAAACTCTTTGGAGTGCATGAATTCAACAAATAGTTGCCAAGCACTTATTACGAGCCAGGTACCAGATCAGCTAAAGGGAATACAAAGCAAAATAGGTAAGTCTGTGCCCTCCTCAGTGTTGAACTTAGCTGGGGACTAATAGTAAAAAAAGTATTCAGTCGATACTTCAAAATCACACTGCCTTTGTTTGATCTCTGCTCTGCCACTTCAAAAGTGGTGTGACATGACCCAGTGTAAAGAAAGAATGACAATAAGCCGATGTGGTGGCATAGCCCTGTAATCCCAGGCCGGGGCAGGAGGATTGCAAATTTGAGCTCAGGCTGGGCAACTTGACAAGACCCTGTTTTAAAAAATATAAAAGGTGCTGAGAGGGCTGGGGATTTAGCTCAGTGGTTCCGGTACCTGCCTCCCAAGCGCAAGGGCCCAAGTTTGATCCCAGGTACCAAAAAGGAAAAAAAAAAAAAAGTGCTGAGAATGCTGCTCAGTACTAAAAAAAAAAAAAAAGTGACAGTAGACTATTGTATAAGATTGTTGTAGGGATTAAATAAGTTAAAGATTGGAAAGCAGTTGGAACAGTGGCACACGATAAGCATTCAATAAGTATTATGTATTACATATTATAGTCTGATATTGTGATATGTATCACATGTTATAATCGGATAAAACCATGTGTGATGGGGTGGAGGGTTTGGTTCAGTGGTTCCACCGTCTGCCTCACAAGCACAAGGGCCGGAGTTTGATCCCCAGTACAAAAAAAATAAAATAAATGTGTGATGATAAGAGAATGTGGGGGAAGCTATGGAGAGGATCCACTTGGAGAAGGCCTCTCTGAGGAGGTGACATGGAAGGCGAGATGAACTAGCCATACAAAGTAGATTCTAGGGATATCTTTCCATTCTGGAAAACTAAATGATTAAACAGATTACTTGGGTGATGGCGGCTGCATTACTGTATTTGAAGTAAAGAACTTCCTGCCACTAGGTCATTCAGTTTTCATTTTTGAATCCCATTGAGCTGGGTGCCAAAGTATATAATCACGTCCATAGGCCCAGCCTTTTCACACAGGCAGTGTTCCAGTCATCTGAGTTTGGCGAACTCTTGTGGGCTGAGAGGTTAGAGAAAAGCAGATTTTTCTGTTCTCCTGACTATTCAGAAGCCATGTACTTTTTTCTTTCTCTCACATTACAACTTTTGCTAATAGATCTCTATCAGGAGATTAAGCTGATAGCTAGAGGTCTTCATTGTAGCGAAATAGGTTCCCTAGACTTGGGAATCATCCTGTTTCTGTGGCACCTGGCATTCATGGGGTTTGTTCTGCAGATTTCAGTAAAAATAACACCCTTCTCAAGATGCACATATTTATCACATGTGTGATAGTGGGTTTCTAGATACCTGTCCTGTGTTAGGTTGTGATGTCCTTTAGGACAAGCATAGTGTTAACCAGGCTGTGCTGAGCATGTAACAGGGCACTGTTACTCTTAAGACTTCTCCCAAACTCCACATGCTCTTCTACCTTCCTGGAAGAAATGATATAAAATGGCAATATTGCTGGGTGTGGTGGCGCACGCCTGTAATCCCAGCACTCAGGAGGCTGAGACAGGAGGATCGCTGTGAGTTCGAGACCAGCCTGGGCTACATAGTGAGTTCCAGGTCAGTCTCAACTACATAGTGGGACACTGTCTCAAAAAAAGCCCAAAATAAATAAATAAAATAAAATGGCAATGTCTGTCTAATCACACTTAGATGTTTTTGGTTTTCCTCAGATAAGAAATTAAAGGAAACGCTGTACTTTATCACTATGGAAATCTTGGAGGATCTGAGTACTGAATTCACATGTAATCTTTCTCTGAGACAGCTGTTACACCACAAAACGTTCTCTGAGTTGTGAACTTTAACTGAGAGAAACTTAAACATGTTATTTAACTACGGGCTCAATATGAAGAAAGACATTTAAATCATTCCGAAGAGGAAAACAGTACTTTTTGTCAGTTGTGCACATTTTCCAAGTAGTAGCTCAGCAAGTAGTAGAGAAGAACCTTAGGCCGAGCGGTGAGTGAAGCTCGGCTAGGCCGGTGCACAGATTTGTGTTTTCCTCTTGAGGACATGCCTCCAGACTGGGTCTCACTCCCCTGAAGACCACCAGCCTAAAAGCGTTAAAACTGCTCCAAGATGGATGAGTCAGATGATGATTTTAAAGAACTCTGTGCCAGCTTTTTCCAAAGAGTGAAAAAAACTGGAACCAAGGAAGTGTTAGAAGACAGGAAGACAAAAAAATCTTCAAACAGCACTCAGATAAGCGCATCAAAGAAGACCAAACAGTCTGCCACCAGGAGCAAAAGCCATCAAGGCACTTCAAAGAAACCTCCGTCATGCGGCCAGGTCCGTAGGGCTAAAAAGCAAGGGGCAACCAAGTCTCAGGGAAGTGAACCTGTTCTCCCTGTGAGTGGAGAGGGAGGTGTGCTTGCTCCTTCTGTGAATCCGGCTGTACCCCAGGATCAAGCACAGAGCATCCAGACAGGTAAACAGTCAAGAACCACTGCCAGGCCTTTTTAGGGAGGACAAAGAATGATTCATACTGTTTTAAACCAGGGGTCAGAAAACTTTCTAAAAAGTCCACGTAGTAAATATTTTGGATTTACAAGCCATACAGTCTGTAGCACAGCTAAAGCTGGCATTCACTGTCTGTGAGTTCAGATCTATAGGTTAAACCAACCTCAGAAAATATTTGAGAAAAACTGTTTATATCAAACCCATACAGAAATTTTTCATGTCATCATTCTCTCTCTTTTTTTTTTTTTTATTGGGGACCAAACTCAAGTCCCTGTCCTTGTGAGGCAGGCAGCAGAACCACTGAGCTAAATCCCTGGCCCCATGTCATTGTTCTCTTAAACAACATAGTAATAATGATGTAGCATTTACATTGTATTAGGTATTATACGTAATGTAGATGTAACAAAGTACAGGGGAGAATGTGCAATGGTATGTGCAAATAGTATGCTATTTTATATACGGGACTGCAGATTTTGATATTCACAGGGGCCCTTGGAACCAATTCCCCAGGGATACAGAAGGACAGCTGTACCCAACTTTGCTGCTATTGTGAATGCAGCTGCATAGGACAGTATGAAAATGAATAGGTGTGGCCTTGTGCCAGTAAAATCTTAACTACAAAAACAAGCAGCCAGCCCCAAGACCCATTTGCTGATTCCTGTTTTGAACAATAATAATAAGAAATAGAATTCCTGTGTAGCTTTTTAACGTAATTATATTTGGAGCCCTCTACTTAAAGAATTTACACAAACAAAAATCTCTTTCTTAAATTCATTCCAAAGTGGGTAAGTTGAATGGGCCAGCAAGTTTGGCTACTGAAGGCTGCAGGGGGGTGCAGTATGGGTTTAAATCCCACAACGTAGTCCTTCCTCTCTCTCCCCCAAAGACCTTTTATACTTTTTTGTTTGTTCGTTTGTTTACAGCAGCTCTCTTGCCCTGCTGTCGTTGATATACTGAGCTGGATGCTTAAGATACATTCTTCATGCAGAACTGAAAACTACCCTTGCATATGTAATGTACCACAAGCTCTCTGGGCTCCTGAGTTCTGTTTCTAAATTTTTCTCACCTTCACTTCCTGATCTTAAATAATGCTTTTTGTTTTTTGTTTTGTTTCATTTTCCTCCTGTGGAAACAGCTCTCAGGAGTAATGAGAAGTCTGAGCAGAGACATAAAACTTTAGTAATGTGCACAGGCACATTTACTCTTTCATTCTCCCTTTGTGCATCTGATGAAAGCTCTGCATGATCCCTTAGAAAACACTATACACATGCATACCTGCAAAAGTGACGCACAACTTCAGGGGCTTGTGGATCCCAAAAATAAACCCCAAGCTCCCCAGCAGTCACTCCCCACTCCCCTCCTGCTATCGATATGTTTACACTGCTCTAGGCAGTAAGGCTGCTAACAAGCAGTCCTACTCATACTTGTCAAACCTAAACTTGTTGGTAAACGTGGCTCTAGCCTGTATCTGGTTGGAAAATCTTTTATTTCTCCAGATAGAACATGCTATGAATGTTTTCCTCCTTGCTAGAGAATTCTCCCAGTGGCGATGCCCGACCCTCCCTGTCCTGTTTGATGACAACAGCTATGCCAAGTCCCTCCAAACCCCGTACTGCACAACTAGTTCTTCAGCGGATGCAGCAGTTCAAGAGAACAGACCCCGAGCGTTTGCGACATGCTTCAGAGGACTGCTCCCTCGAGGCTACACTGGAAGAAAATGTCCCACAGAGCCCTCAAGAGGAGACGGTAGCAGGAAACGGTATGAGGAACATGTTCAGTCTTCCAGAAATATGTTACAGTACTGGAGGAAAAGGGGCAGGAAGAAACCTGTGTTCATTTTGTTTCTACTCTGAGTGTACCCTCTGCCAGGTGTATTATCTTTGCCATTTTACTGGGTCTAAGTAGAGAATGAATGTCTCTTGGTCATTTCTTACTTGAGTTCTTTGACAAGAGACTTACTGCCTTTTTTTTTTTTTTTTTTAAATAATTCAGAGCATTTTACTTATCCTCCTGCTTTAATCTCCTAGGTTCTGGGATTATAGGCACATACCTCCATGACTGGCTCTCTTATTTTTATTTTGACTTTTTGTTACAAAATTTTTCCCTGCAAAGTTTTTTAAAATTACAGTGAACATAGCCAGATATGAAGGTACATAGCTGTAATCCTAGCACTTGGGAGGCTGAGGCAGGAGTATGGCAACAAGTTTAAGGCCAGCATGGGCTACACAGAGAGTTCAAATCTAGCCTGAACTATATAGGGAGACCCTGTCTCAAAAAAACAAAGGAAAACCCAAAAGCAACACATTACAGTGATCCCCTATAGCTTCCACCTAGATTTAACAACATTTTGCCATTATATACAGTTTCTCAGATCTTAATTGGCTATATTTATGATTCTCAAATTGGCCATAATCTATACCAGAAGTGGTTCTAAATACTCATGCCATATATTTTTTGTGTCTCTGTAAATATGCATGTTTCTCTTCTGTGTCATTGGACAGTAAGGTATAGACATTATAACATTTCACACCTACATAATCACAATACCATTGTCATGCTTAATGGTATACCACTACCTGGTATCGAGTTCAAACTCGCATTTTCCCAGGGATCCAAGGATATCTTTTGTAGCTGGTTTTCTTTCTGCAACAAGAATTCAGCATAAATTCATATACCGCTTATTGCTGTAGCTTAATCTCTTAAGGTTAGATTCTAGAATAGTCCCCTTGGTTTGGTTTTATTCTGTGTTGACATTAACTTTTAAAGAGTCTAGATGAGCTGTCTTATAAGATTTTGCACTTTCTGGATTTGCTTGATTATTAGCTCATGACATTATTTAACCCCTTCCCTCAGTTTTGGTATTTTGGGTACACTATAAGTAAATCAGAGGTCAGACTGGCTCCAGGTTATACACTTTGGCATCCACATACCACAGGTGCTTTGTGGTGTGTTCACATAATGTAGATGGCCCTACCTATCACCTGTGCAATGTGGAGCCTCATTTCTGATAAATGTATATAAAAGGAAAAGCAGGAAGAAACCTAGTGATGGACCTATAGCTGATCAGTGTGAAGTCTCTTGGTATTGCGTTTACTTATTTCCCCTTGAGAGCACTGCAGCGTCTCAGGCTGCCCCAGAGTGGCTTGGGAGTCACTCAGGCAGTGCCTGGGCCTAGCACCTGCCCTACATTTGATTCAGTTTTTCTCTGTGTATTTTCACATCATACCCAGCAAATGCTTAAGAAGGAATAGACCGTTTCTTTAAGAAATGAAGTGGGGAGCACTGAATATGTAGCTAAAAGGTAGGGTGCATGCTTAGCTTGTTTTGAGGCCCAGCCCAGGGTTCAATCCACAGTACCACACACACACAGATACAAAATATAGAATCAGAAGCTTTTGGCTTCAGTGGCAGGAACAACAGGCCATAGTATTCAAGAACCAAGGCCGGGGATTTACCTCAGTGGTGCTGCCGCCTGCCTTGCAAATGCAAGGACCCGAATTTGATCTCCGGTACCAAAATGAACCGAAGACCTGTGAAGTTCTGAGCATATCCTTTGTGAGTGCTTCAGGTTTGCCTCACAGTACTGGCTGGGCTACCTTGGGCCATCTCAAGACCAGAATCTGTCCATCCTTTGGTGTGGTGCTAAGCAGGAGATTCTGCCTTTTAACTGCCAAAGGTCATTCACTCTACCCTGGCTTTTCTGTCACGGGCAGTAAAAGGTCAGCAACAGTAAAGGCTGAACTTTGAGGAAACAACCTAGCTTCATTGTAATGGGAGCTGTGTGACCCTGCAATACCTGAGGCACAGGCTTTAGTGAACAGGGGAAAGATGAAAGGCAAGTTCCTGAGGATCTCAATATACAGAGTGGGCCTGGCCCATCAGCATCACCACATTTGGTGTCTGTTAGAAATGCAGTTGCCCAGGCTCTACCGGGACCCCCTGAATCCACGCCTGCGTTTTCACAACCTCCCTAGGTGCTCTGTGTGTATATTGAACTTGGGTGAGAGCAGTTCCAGATTTCCCAGGTCCCTGTCTCACTGGGCAGCATCCCAGGCCTACAGAGCAGTACTAGGTTCTGGTTTCCTGGTGTTCTCCCTGGCATCCGTCCCCTGAGAGCCACAGACATAACACAGAGGTCGGAGGCCAGCTTGTCTTCACAGATCTTTGGTGCTTTTCCCCAGGGAATGGACTGGCGCTCTCTGCCACAGACAGTGATGCTGCAGTAGCCTTGGTTCTGCAGCAAGAGTTTGGAAGGAAAGGTGCATCTGCACATGACGATAACCTGGACGAGAAGGGGTTGTTCTTCTGCCAGATGTGTCAGAAGAACCTCTCAGCTATGAACGTGACCCGGAGGGAGCAGCATGTGAACAGGTAGGAGCAGCACAGACCGTCCCGTTTCCTGCGGGAGTGACCTGTGGCTCTGGTAGGATTCCAGAGGTATTCGATGTGGTAATAGTACCTCAGTGTGATCAGCACACCCTTTCTGTGTGGTTGTGTTTTGTTTGTTTTTGTACCAGTTGGTACCAGGGATCAAACTCGGGCCCTTAGCAGAACCACTGAGCTAAATCCCCGGCCCTCTTGTTTTTGTTTTGACACAGGGTCTTACTGTGTAGCCCAGGCTAGCCTTGAACTCACTCTGTTTGAACTCAAGTTCACATTGGTCTTGAACTTGAGGCAATCCTCCTGCCTCAGCCTCCCAAGTGCTGGGATTACAGGTGTGTGCTTCCATGCCCAGAAACTTACCATTTTTACTAGACGATTTTATCAAGATAGAATTCACATACACAGTTCAACCATTTAAAGGACAATGTCCCTTTTGTTATTATGTCCATGCAGTTGTACAGCCATCATCACCATCAGTTTTGGTTTTGGACCATTTTCATCACCCCCAAAAAGAAACCCCAGGCAGTCACTCCCTTTTGCCCCTCCCTCATTTTCCTAATAACAACTAATCAACTTTCTGTCTCTATGGATTTGCTTATTGGACACTTCATGTAAGTGGAATCCTACAATTTTTGTCCTTTTGTGTCTGTCTTCCTCTGCTTAACATCTTGTTTTCAGAGTTCACCCATGTGGCCTGTATCACTGTGTTACTTGTTTTTACAGTTAAGTAATAAATAGCCCATTGTATGGAGAGATCACATATTTATCCTTTCCTTCACGGATGGACACGGGTTGTTTCCACCTTTGGCAAATGTTTGTGTCATAGTTGAACACCTGTTTTCAGTCCTTTAGGGCATATATTTAAGGATAAAATTGCTGGCTCAGAAGATAGCCATGTTTAATTTGTCCTTGTTTTCTTTAGCTGCCTTTGCTAACAGATGCCTAAATTTAGTGTGTGGAGCCAACTGCCAGGAGACGTGCAGGCTGTGAGGACTGGCTTTGGGGAACATGCGTAAGCCGTCACATCCTTGTTGACGTGGATCCAGCATTTGCTATGATCCACATCACTGGGGAGAGTGGTTCTCTTATGTTTACTATCTTCCTCCAGGTGCTTGGATGAGGCTGAAAAGGCACTAGAACCTTCTTCTCCTCGGATCCCTGAGTGTCCAATTTGTGGCAAGCTGTTTGTCACCTCCAAGAGCCGAGTCAGCCACCTGAAACAGTGTGCAGTGAGGATGGAAGTGGGCCCCCAGCTTCTACTGCAGGCTGTGAGGATGCAGACAGCTCCGCCTGAGGCAAGCAGCAGCCCTCTGACTCCCAGGTGAGGTAAAAGAAGAGAAGAAAATTGAGGAAACCAAATGATGATGTTTGTACTCAGTTTGACTTTTTATAAAGCTCTCTGTAGAGTTAAAGTACACCAGAGCCCCCTTGCCTTCTGGAAGTGATACATTTGAAGAGGAAATCAGGCAGTGTAGAGGGGGTTTTGCATGCACACAGGGATATCCATGGAGAAAATCTGATTGGATTGTTTAGTTTCCTTAAGATGTTTCCAGTCCATGATCTTGCAGTGGCTCCTCTAGAGAGTCTAAGGATTTGGTCTTCACTTTAACTCTTCTGGGTCTTGATTGGCCAGCTATGGCTTCAATCTTAGTGTAGTTCAGTTTTCATTTTGTTAACGTCAGATTATTCAGCACAGTTCAAAGAATTGATGAGACAATTTTTTTAATTTTCCTGAATTAGTGCCTGCATATTAAAATAGGAAGCCCCTCCATCATCTGGGAAAGCAGGTCCTTGGCATGCAGACCACAGACACAAGTGGCAGAGGGTCAGCTTGGCTCACTCTGCCCTTGCCACTAGGGACAATCACGTTAATGCCAACTTCAAACAGAACAAAGTCAGTGTGGGCCCCCAACTTCTTTTATTTCGGAACGTCTTCCCTTTGACAGCTGGCAAAAGCAAAGTGAAAGAAGGCCAAGTTTAGTGGCTGCCTTGTGGTTTGGCCACTGCCTTATACAGAGGCTATGGGCAGCAGGGCTGGGCCAGATCTGAGGTCCCAAAAGACAGAAGGAATTCTCTTAGCCAGTAAACCTGTCTGTATTCATTCAGCACATCCACATTAGTGTCCTAGGACAGGAAGCCTTCAGGTCTTACAATAGACATTATTTAAGCCATTGCTTGCCTCAGACCAAATATGTCTGCTTTTAAAATATCTTCAAGTGGGGATTTAGCTCAGTGGTTCCGCCTGCCTCGAAAGAGCAAGGACCTGTGTTCAATCCCTGGTACCAAACTGTCTTCAAGTATTGAAACTAGATGTGTGTGAAGCCTTTTAGAAGGCTGATCAAATAGGAAGCCATAAGAACTGGACACACGTAAGGGTCTTTGAACCTCCCCTCTGCTAAGGTCAGGCCTGGGTATCTGGATCTCTGGAGTGGTCCGAATTCTCTGACCCAGATGCACATGCCAGTCTGCTCACCTTCTTACCCCTGCCCACCCACTCATGTTTTTCCGGAGCCCAGGCCCTCTTTGCAGCCCAGGGGAGCAGCCCTAGCCTCACTGCACTCGTGGAGGTGTCTGCTCAGCTGCTCACCTTTCTCTCTTGGTAGCTGTGGTTATCATAGAGGTTCCCAGGAAGCTAGAGCTGTTAGGGCTTGCTTAGATCTTCTGAGGCTACACCTGAGAATCTCTAGCCATTGCTGCCCAGGGAGGAGAACATAAGCTTTTGCAGAAGCCAGAGGCATGATGAAGGCTGCAGGTCAGGAGGGGTCCTACTCCCAGTTTCCATCTGCCTTACCGTCCTACTTCTTACCCAGCCAGTGGGGTTCACACAGGCACCAGAGCTTCTATCCAGCCCAAAAATCCTTGTGCTAATCTCCCCAGGGCAGAGATGCTGTGTGTTGGCTCCTGAGGGTGCTAGCTCTTGGAGGCTGAAGCTGGGAGGCCCTTGTTTCAGGCCTTGGGCAGAGATGCAGTATAGCCAGGACTGCTTCAGGGGCATCTGAAGTTTTAGTGGACAGAGCTTGGTGGGAATCCATGGAGCCAACTCAGCCATTGAGTGTAAACTCCACCAGAAGGTTCAGCCACATCTAGGGTAGAAGGTACCACTGACAGCTCTGTTAAGAACCTGACTGTGCAGTGTCCACAAAAACAGACCAGATCCTCTCATGTTTGGAACTTCTGATTGTTTGGCCTAGATTGAATGAGCTCAGCAGTGAGAGCTGAAGCAGGGATGGCTCTGTGCAGGGAACACACAATCCTTTCTGTTCACCCCACATGAGGCAGACAGGCGTAGTCTCAGGTGAGACTCTCTCTGACCTTTCTCTTTCACTTTAGCAACCATGTTGGAGGTCGGAAACGGAAAGGAGCCACCACCAAGAAGGAGCCACTGAAGAGGCGGAAGGTTGATAAACCCGAGGTACCATCTGAGGACTTCCTGGTGGCCATCGCTCTGTCCCGATCTGAAATGGAGCAGGGTTCATCTGTGCCTGCACTCAGACTGGAAAGTGCTTTTTCTGAGAGGACAAGGCCAGGAGCAGGTACATGTTGCTGGGAGCAGAGGCCCTGGGGAGAATTCATTGGTCTGCTGGCAGCCAAGAGTTACAAGCAGCAACTTCCAGATGAGTGGACAGATCCATTACTCGCTGTGTCCTTCTGTTTATCTCTAGAGAAGAAAGGTCGCAAAAGAAAACCCCTGAGGCCCCCACCACAGTTATTAGTGCAGGACACCAGCACCACCGGTAGACAGATAGAGGATCGTGTGGCCCAGCTCCTTTTGGAGGAAGTAGAACTATCCAGCACACCACCACTTCCTGCCAGCAGGATTCTAAGGGAAAAGCTGAAAGAGGCAGGTTGGTGTCTACAGCTGCCTGAAGGAAAGGAGAACTTCCTGTGGGAGGGCAGTGCCCTGACCGGAGCTTGGGCTATGGAATGTTTCTACACAGCGGCCCTGGTCCCTCCCATTGTGCTCCAGCGGCCCACCAAGGTGAGCCCTTCCCCTCCTGGTACATACACGGGTAGGCTTTGGGGTGAGATGGACAGTTCCAGAAACGCAGCCCTTGATACTGTGGTTGGTGAACAGAAAGTCCAAGAAGTAGATCTGGGAGGAAGCCAATGGGGCCTCAGCTATAGCTTGTTTCTCTCTGCAACAACCAAATGGCAGTCCTGGTAGCCAGGTGTGGTGGCATGTGTCTGTAATCTCAGCACTCAGCAGGCTGAGGCAGAAGGATCACTGAGTTTGAGGACAGCCTGAACTATGTAGCAAGACCCTGTTTCATAAAACAAACAAACAAAAAATGACAGTTCTGGTAAGAAAAGAGGACTTTAGTTCCCAAAGTTTAATATTTCCTTGGAGAGTTTGTTTAAAATTCATAGTCCAAGCTGGGTATGATGGCACACACCTGTAATCTTAGTATACTGGGAAGATGAGGCAAGAGGATTGCAAGTTCAAGCCTGGCCTGGGCAACTTAGCAAGACCCTGTCCCAAGATTAAAAATAAAATAATATAAAGTAAAATAAAGCAGACTCCAGCCCCACTCCCAAGATGGCTGGTATAGTCTGTGTGTGAGGGGGTCCTAAGAATCTCCATTGTTTTTTTTTTTTTTGTACCGGCGATTGACTCAGAACCTTGCACTTGCAAGGCAGGCGGCAGAACCACTGAGCTAAATCCCCGGCCCAAGAACCTATATTCTAAATAGGTGCTCCAGACAGTCCTGCTGCAGCTGGTCCTGAGTCAGTACTTAACCACTTAGATGACACTAGCTGGGCGGTAGGCCTGGGCCTTTTTGACTCTGATGATCCTTTGTGGACCGGGATGCCACAGGATGAACTGGCCACGGCAGAAGCCTTTTGACACTGTGATAGGAAAAGCTTCCCAGGCTTGCTTCAGGCCACCCTTGGGGACAGTCCATATCCTGTGCTCTGTTTTACATCTAACCGTGCATGTGTGGGGTGGCTTCTACAGTGTGTATGTCAGTGACAGTGACCACACAGTCACTTTGGCTTTCCACCTTCTTACACGGTCTCACACAGGAGCCTGAGGTAACACTGGTGCTGCCTGTGCAACCAGAGCCAGGTATACAAAGGCCACCTGCCCTCCATAGCAGCTTCCATGCAGACTGCAGCCCCAGAGCCCCATCACTGTCTGCCAGCCAGAGGGAGCGCCAGGCCCTGCAGGACCTCGTGGACCTGGCAGAGGAAGGGCTGAGTGCCAGCCCGTGGCCCTGCAGTGGGGGCCTGGCCAGCTCTGGAGGTGCTACAGGTGAGTCCCTGGGTGGGATGTTTGGGCCAGCCACCCAGTCTGAGGTGGGGACAGACTGAGGGCAGCTGGGACCTGAGGCTCTGAGGCACACTCTGTGGGAGAATGCAGACTCTGGGTACTTTCATTTTGCTCTCAAAGGTTAAAATAATGTAGCCACTTGTGAATGTCATAGTTTTCTCAAACTTTAACCAAAGATAGGGCTACCTGGGATAATTTTGTCTCTTTTATTATCCTTTTACCTCCCTTTTGGGGAAGGTTGCAAAAATGTCTTGTGGGAGTCTGCTTTAAATGAAGTTGTCCTGAGATGCCTCGGTCCAGCTCAGCCAATTGGCAGTTGGTGTTGCTGGGAGGTGATACTTTTTTAATGTGCACACCTTTCTCTCAGGGTTGGATTTGGTGCCCAGCGGTGTTCCTCTGACCGGTTTTGCTCTGCCACCCAAGGAGAAGCCCTTTGAGAGGGACGACCGCACTTCGGTAGGTACAGGGGATTTGGCACTGTGAGCTGAGCTGTGGCTTTGGCTGCTGCTATTCAGTTCCCTGGTCTCTGCTTCCTTGATGATCATTGTACCCAGATAGCCTTTTTAATTCTTTCAGGAAGATACCAAGAAGGGCATAGCTGGGTCAAATGGAACAGTGATTGAACCGGTCTGCACCCCCACCAACAGTAGAGAAGGGTTCCTTTTTCCTCACAGCCCCGCCAGCATTTGTTATTGGTTGATTTCTTGATAACAGACATTCTTTCTGGAGATGGAATCTCAGCGTTGTTTTAATTTGCATTTCACGAATGACCAGTGATGTTGAACATTTTTTTTCTTATATTTATTTGCCGTTTCTAATTCTTCATCTGAGAAGTGCGTTTTTATTTCAGATGCACATTTTTAGGGTCTGTTTTTTTTTTTTAAGTTCTTTATATATTCTAGATAATAGCCCTTTATCTGACTAGCTGGTAAAAAAAATTTTTCCCACTCCGTGGGTTGTCTCTTCACTCTTTCAGGTTTCTCATGCTGTGTAAAAGCTTTTTAATTAGATGAGGTCCAGTTGTTGATTCTGTGTAGTATTTCCCATGCCATCTGGGTTTTATTCATGAAGTCTTTGCCTACTCCTATGTCCTCAAGCGTTCTACGTATTCTCTCTTACAGGAGATTTAGTGTTTCTATTTTAATATTTAGATCTGTGATCCATTTTTATTTTAGGTTAGTGTGTGGTGAAAGATAGGGGTAAGCCAGGAGTGGTGGCACATACCTGTAATCCCAGCACTTGGGAGGCTGAGGCAGGAGGATCAGTTTGAGTTCGAGACCAGCCTGGGCTACATAGTGAGTTCCAGGTTGTCTTCACTACATAGTGAGTCCCTATCTCAAAAGACCAAACAAAAAAAAAAGAAAAGAAAGAAAGATAGGGATCTAGTTTCAATCTTTGGCATGTGAATGCCAGTTTTTCCAGCACCATTTATTAAAGAGGCTATCTTTCTTCTAGTGAAGGTTCAGACAGCCCGTTGAGCATCCACTGGGCCTCCTGTCACCTCTCTTGGGGCACTGCTGCAATGGCTTCTGTCCATTCTGTCTGAGGACACTGTGAATTACCCTAGCAACTGAGCCCAGTGTCCACTTTGCCTCAGAGTCCTAGGAAAACGCTGGTTCTCTGCTGCCTCTTTTAGGCATCTGCTATGCTGGCTTTTCCATGGTTTCCTTCACACATGATAAGCTAACTGTGCCCCTTCTCTACAGGGTCCTGGGCTGGGCTGTAACTAACTGCCCAGTGTCTGGTTTTGGTGATGGACAGCAGTAGAAGTTGGGCTTTCCTTGGAGGACCAGGATTAGGATCAGTCCACCTCCTCACTGCAACTACCAGCCTGGGGTCATCACAATGCATAGCTGAGGAGTGGGGTGGGTCCCTGAACAGCGGGGCTCAGGGCTCTGGTGCATCACACTGTGGGTATGGCAACGCATGTGCACACACCCAGTGCTCAGGAGCCGTGATGGTGTGGGGACACCCTGCTGCATCCACTTGCTGGTCACTCCTATCTGAGGTCAGGAGTACACTGTAATAGAGGCCCAGAGAAAGAGGGTAGCAGAGGTGGAGAGGAGGGTGGGGTCCTGGCTCTTAGCTCACCCTAGCATCCCTCTGTTGGGAACCTCACAGCCGAGTTAGAGAAGCAGCACTGGGGGCTGATGGCTCTCTTCCTGTCCTAATGTACAGCTCTCCCTTGGGTTGCTTGCTGCTGATTTTGGTGCCATGGTCAATAACCCACACCTGAGTGACGTTCAGTTCCAGACTGACAGCGGGGAAGTGCTTTATGCCCACAAGTTTGTGCTTTATGCCCGATGTCCACCTCTTGTTCAGTATGTGAGTATGCAGCGTGCCTCCTTTGCCTCCTCACTCCCCTTTGTCCCTCCCTTTCTCTCTCACCCTTGCTCCAGAGTATGGTTCCCATGTTGCCAGTATCATTCTGCTTCTGTGGAGAAAAAGTAGAGGTGGGTTAGCTTCAAGGCTGAAAAATGTCTGCAGTTTTAGTTCTATTGAAAGAAAACTTTCCCTCCTCCAATTGTTTCTACTTTCCTCTATCTACATGATTATAAAGGGTCACCATCGCTCTCTTCAAGTCTGATTTACATGCTCAGTCTGCCAGAAAGTTCTAGAGTCTGTCAAGGGGAAACTAACCAGCTCCCTGAAATTTTAACATCCACCCCTAAAATAATTTGGAAAACAAAGAAATGCCATGGTTGAACCCATGGAATTATGGCCAAGAAAATGCACAACATTGGCCCAAACCTTTCTGGAGCATGGAACTCTGAGACTGGAGACTCATGGATATCTCAGATGGTCTGTTTGCTGCAGTTTACAACTACTCAGTAAGTATACTGCTATACTTAATTTCATCCTCAGGTAAATGATGAAGGCTTCTGTGCTGTAGAAGATGGGGAAGAGACCCAGCGTGTGCTCCTAAGCAGTGTGAGCACTGAGACCACCCACGTGTTCCTGCGCTATCTCTACACAGCAGACACTGGTCTGCCATCCCACCTGGCGTCTGAGCTGGGAATCCTGGCCCGCAGGTTGGGATTGCTCTTCCCATGGACTCCCCAGCCTGTGAGAGATGGTTTCAGGGTCAGCAGTTGACAGTTTGGGAGGGTTGTGCTGTAGAAGGGTCAGGGCTGAGGCCAGCAAGACCTTGGGTCCTGTTTATACTATTTAGTCCCAAGTTCATTGTCAGTGGTGCCCTTCACCAGGGCCTGGTAGCCAAAGGCATTCAGAATGAATACCTGAAGGGCTGGATATTTTCAGGGTGGAGAAGACTCTACCAGGCATGGCAAGGGGTGGCCCATCGCCTTCGCATCCCACACACTGAGCTTTTTATTTTTGATACCGGGGATCAAATTCAGGACCTTGTGCTTGCAAAGCAGGTGGTGGAACCATTGATCTAAATCCCCAGCCCCTACATTGAGTTTTTTGATTGTTCCCATGAGAGTCACACTGCTCTTCCCCTGAAGTCTCTGCTTGGCCACCCACCTGGCTGCCTGCAGGCACCTCCGTGCAGAGTGGTGGTGACCCACAGTATTCTGTTGCAGGTTTGGTGTGAGAGACCTTGTTGACCTGTGTGAACAAGTGCCTGCTGGGATGGACGTGGAGAGCGAATTACAGGAGGAGAAGGAAGATGAGAACTGTGAAAGCAGAGTGGAGAATTTCCAACAACTCTTGAGGTCAATGTGGACAGATGAAGAGGAGGAAGCAGAGACTTTGCTGAAATCTGAAGAAGACAGAGAAAAAGTGAATGAAGCAGATATGGAAGAAATTTACGAATTCGCAGCTACTCAGCGAAAGCTGCTGCAGGGTGGAAGAGTATCAGACACAGAAGAGGAGCCTGACCAGGCAGGAGAAGACAGTCTAGTTGCTGGACCTCCCCTGGCAAATGTCCTGGGAAGAAGCAAACCGTTGGTAAAGGGAAAACAATTACAGTTGTTGGGGCCAGGAAAATATAAGACCTCAGTCACTGGGGAAAATGCAAGGCAATCCCTCCTGCTGCCCCCAGGTAGATGCTCAGACAGGGCAGTGGATGCAAAGACCCACCAGCAGACGGCACCAAAAGAGGCACCTGGCCCCAGCACCTGCAGCCTTCCTGGGGGCAGCAAGGCTGGGAGACAAGAAGATTTCCCCGTGCACTCATTTGAGGTCCCTGCATATGAACAGGTGTTTTCATCAGCTCAAGTCTGTGAACTATCCCACATAACAAGTGATTACCAGGAACAGAGTGGCATTGTTAGAGAGAAGGGGGTGGAAATGGCTTGTGCCTCCACTCCACAGCCACACTCATGCTGCCTCCCATCATGGCTTCCTGGTGGCCAGAGTCCCAGCCGATCACAGCTTCATCTTTATCACACAAGTGATTCGTCCCCGTCCATGACCCAATCACACAATAATGTTTCCATGGTGTCCCCCAGCTCACCATGTCCAGCCCTACCATCAAAGCAGGATAATGGCATTCTCAAAGTACTTAAGGAGCCAGGTGACTGGAAAGGCAGAGGATGTCGTTCCATATTGGAATGCAAAAATAAGGGTGTCCTGATTTCCCCAGAAAAGTCTCTACCCATTGACCTGACACAGTCAATACCCAACACCTCGAGTACCAGGTCCCAGGATCCTTGCTCCCAAATGAGCAGAGAGAACGAGATCATCCTTTTACTGGATTCAGATGAAGAGTTGGAGCTAGAACAGACCAAAACAAAGTTGGTTTCTAATGGTCCTTCAGAAGGAAGGAATGTACTAGAAGTCAGCCACAAGTCCTCTGAGTTGTTTTCAGTCATTGATGTTGATGCAGATCAAGAGCTTTCTCAGAGCCCCCTGAGGAAAGAGGCTGAGCTGCATCTCGAGAGCAGGGAGGGACAGTTGGAGAATCAGGGTGCTGTGGGCAGCACACGGGCCTCCTGGCTGATCTGCAACCGTGAGAGCAGCCTCAATGAGGACAGTACCACAGATTCCTCCTGGCTGGTGCCCGCTACCCCAGTAGCCAGCAGGAGCCGGGACTGCTCGTCACAGACCCAAATCACAAGCCTCAGGACCAGGCCTCCAGAGGATAAGATGGCCCTGCCCTCATCCAGGGCCACCCCAGAAAATAGCACAGTGTTGGAGGCCACGCAGAAGTTCTCAGTCATCACACCCCCATTGTCACCCATGCCTCTAGGAACTTCAGGGAGTGGAAGGCAGGTCCATAGGAGTCCTTCCCTTTCCCAATCCAGGCGCCACAAGCTGTCTTCCCCAAGGGCCCCATGGCCCATGTCAGGAGGCCTCCCTGACTTCACTGGACCAGTCCAGAAACTCTCACCAGGTCAGGTAGCAGTGAGTGAAGTGGTGGAAGTTGGGGACAGTGAAGATGAGCAGGAAGTATCTTTTCATCAGATAAACAAAAGCCCCCTGCTGGACAGTGACCCACCAATCCCTGTGGACGACTGTTGGAATGTTGAGCCCCTCTCACCAATTCCAATTGACCACCTGAACCTCGAACGCACTGGCCCCTTGAGCACCAGCAGTCCCAGCAGTCAGGCCCAGGAGCCTCTGGACAGTGGTGACTGCCACTCCCCTAGATTCCTGGGCAGCACCCCCATCCGAGCAAGTGGCACAGCTGGAAGAGCATCTCTAGAGCAGTCCTTAGGAGGTGGCTCCCCAGCAGCCAGTAGGCTGAGCTTTCTGAATTCAGCCTTATGGGACGACTGGAACGGGGAAGGGCAGAAGTCTCCAGACCCAGAGGCTCCTCCTGCAGCCCAGACACTGTGTGCTCTCCGAACTCAGAAATCAGAAGGGCCAGAGATACCAAGTAAGTGGCCATTGGGGTCAGAAGTGGTCTTGTCTACCTCTGACAGGGCGTGGAGATCCTGGTGATAGGAAAGGCTGGCTCACCTGGCCAAACCCTGCCATTGCCTTGCAGACCCCTTTCCACTTGGAGGAAGGGAGACCGCCTGGCATCCAGCATACGCCAGTCAGTCTGTCAGTGCTTCCTGCACTGCTCTGCATCCTAACCATCACTACCTAGGCACTTGGTGAAAGTACATGTTGGTGGACCCCCTACCAAACTCTGGGCCAGCACCCCCAGAGGTGGCACGTCTAAGCAGTAAGTGTCCCATTTGCACCTTAAGATGGGCAAGTGTGGTTCCTCAGAAAGTTAAACATCAGGGCTGGGGGTGTGGCCCAGTAAAGTACTTGCCTGGTGTACTTGAGATTCTGGGTTCTATCTCCAACACCACACAAAAAAAGTTGAATGTAGAATTGCCATAGGACCCAACGTGCTTACATACCCAAAAGAACTGAAAACAAATCCTTGACGGTGCATGTTCATAGCTGCATTAGTCACAATAGCTGGAAGGTGGAAGCAGCCCAGGTCCTATCAGCGGATGGGTAAGCAGAATGTGATCCATCCATGTGGGGAATAGTGTTTGGCCATAAAAGGAATGAAATACACCTGCCACAGCATGGGTGCCTTCAGAGAACACTGCTAGGTAACAAAAGCCAGACACAAAAGGCCACCTATTACATAATTTAGTTTCTATGAAATACCGAATCCAGAATGAGAGAACAGAGGCTAGGGGTTGCCTGGGGAGGGAGATGGGAGTGACTGCTTATGGGGTACAGGTCTCCTTTGGGGTGATGAAAATATTCTGGAACCATAGTGGCACATGCTTTTAATCCTAGCACTTGGGAGGCTGAGGCAGGAGGATCTCTGTGAGTTCAAGGACAGCCTGGACTTCATAGTGAGTTCAAAGCCAGCCTGAACTATAGAGTGAGACCCTGTCTCAAAAAAAAAAAAAAAAAAAAAAAAAAAAAAGAAAAAAAAATTCTGGAACCAGATAGAGGTAATGGTTGACCACCATTGTGAATGTTCTGAATGACACATCTGTGAATTGTGCTTCACAAAAAGCAAAACAGACTGAGGTGTAGCTCAGTGGTGGGACACGTGCCTAGTATGCCCTGAGTTTGATCCTTAACACCAAAACAAAAACCCTCACAAATGGAGAAAGTGTGGGAGGCTGTGGGCCCTGTCCTTCCTCTTCCCCTGGGGGGAAGAAAGCCACTTCCAGCTTATTTCAGGAACCCTGGCTCACTCAAAATCACTCATGGGCCATGCACTTTCAGGGAGGAGGGGCAGGGCCAGCTATCCCCCATGATGAGGACAGAAAGCAGCGCTGAGGGTAAGAGTGACTGCAACCTGGTGCTTCTTGACCTCTTGAAAGCTTAGGTGAATTAGGCCACTGACAGCCCTCAGCCTTCAGGGGCTTCAAGTCACCCAGAGAATTGCTTAAAACATGCCTGCCCTGCCCCACACAAGAGGTTCTGCTTCAGAGGTCCCATGTGACCCAGAATTTGCATTTCTTACCAGTTCCCAGGTAGGGCCGTAAAAACTGCTGCAGGAGACTTTAGACTGGGGCACCTTGGTCTGAATCTGAGGTGGCCTTTAAGATGGTCTCTGAGGGCCAGGGAATTAGCCCAGTGGTCCTGCCCCCTGACTCGCAAGTGCAAGGGCCAGAATTCGATCTCTGGTACCAAAGGAAAAAAAAAAAAGATTGTGTGGTTATAAAACAAATGTCTGTGCTCCTCATTTGTCCCATTTCTCTTTAAAAGACTGATTTTAGTCTGGCATGGTGATACACACCTGTAATCCTCAGTACTATGGGCAACTGAGGCAGGAGGACTATAAGTTCAAGCCAAGCCTGAGCAATTTAATAACTCAGTAAGACCCTGCCTCAGAAGATTAAAAAAGGGCCAGGGATACAGATCAGTAGATCAGATTGAACCCTGGGTTTAATCCCCAGTACCAAAATAAAGGGGCTAATTATTTTTCATTGAGTTTATTGGTACCTTTTAGGTATACAATATGATGACATCCATCACTGGGAACTTGCACCTTTATATGATGTATCTTGGTTTTTATTTTTCCCCATCCCCTGCCCTCCCTTCAACCCCTCCACCCCTCCCTAGTCACAAAAACTGTTTCCATTTTTTCCTTTCCCCTACTCTTCCCAGTTTCCCTTCCCCTTTAGACCATTTCTTCCTATTTCACTTTTATCTATTACACATTTTGATCCATATTTACACTTTCAGTTTATCACATCAGAGAAACTATTCAATATTTACATGTGTGTCCTATTTATTTCACTTAAAGAGTATGGCCTCGGGCCAGGGATTTAGCTCAGTGGTGTTACCACCTGTCTCATGAGCACAAGATCCCAAGTTTGATCCCCCCCCAAAAAAAAAAGCATGACTTCAGTGTGCATCCATTTAGCTATAAATGTCTCTAGTTTCTCATTCTTTATGGCTGAGTAGTACTCCATTTAATTTTTTTAAAAAATCACATCTTTATCCAATCTCCAGTTAATGGGCAATTGGGCTGTTTCCAAAGGACTGATTTTTGTTGTTGTTGTTCTGGAGATTGAACTCAGGACTTTGTGATTTCCAGGAAGGCAGTGGAACCACTGAGCTAAATCACCAGCACAGGACTGATTTTTTATAGAGCATACATCAGTCTGGGTTGGAGATTGTTTTTTTGGGGGGACTGAAATACCTCACTCTAGGCTCTCCTTGACTTGACAGTTTGTGTTGAAAAGTCTGCTGTGATTCTCATGGACTTCCCTTTGCAGGTGATTTGTTTCTTTTCTCTTAACTGCTTATAGTATTTTGTTCTTCTGTTGGGTTTCTGGGATCTTGATTACTATATATCTAGGTGTAGATTTTTTTTTTTTTGATCATGGCTATTTGGAGTCCTATACACCTCATTTATCTGTATGTCAAATTCTTTCCCTCAGTTGGGGAAGTTTTCTGTCATTAATTCTGTGAAGTTTTTTTTTTTAATGTCATCTTTACTTTCTCCTGCTATTTCATGGGTTCCTATCAGTCTTATATTATTCTTCTTTGCATCATCTAGGGGTAGTTGGATCAATTTCTCATGATCCCTTACTGTTTTAAGAGATCTCTTTTTCATGATCACTCAATTCTATCTTCTATATCTGATATTCTATCTTCACATTCACTCCTTCTGCTGCCAATGCTTTCAATAGCGTTTTTAATCTCCTGGATATTTATTTGAATATGTTTCATGCATTCCATTTTTTTCCTATGCTGAGCATTCATGGTTTCCATCATGGTCCTTGGGTCATCTATTTTTTTTTTTTTAAATCTGTTTCTGTTCTAGAATCTCTAATCATGTCTTTCATTCTTATCACCATCTCTGTGGTTATCTGGGAAATTATTTGTTTTGAATTTTTCTAGAGTCTCATTTACGTGTTTTTTTTACTTCCTGTGCTATTCATTCATGGTGTCTGGATGGTTAACAGATTTTTTTCCACCTCATTTCCCCCAGAGTTTACCTTTGGTGAGGTGGAAGTCTGTGTTTGTGCCTTGTTTAAATGTCTTCTCATTTCTATTTTTGTTGTTGGTACTGCCCTTGGTTTAATTCCTGGGTTAATATAGCTGGTCTTTAGGTTTTGGGTTTCTCATTACTCTGAGACATTCTCATTTTCATAATACCAGGAGGGACAACTGATTAGATCAATCATAACACCTTAGCCCAAGCAATACAATTAGCAACACAGTAGCATCAAGAAGTTAGAAAATGACAATTTGTGGTACTTATTAATCTATCACCTTTAACTGTGTGAATTAAATAAAAATCGAGGACCAGCCCAAAATATGTTTATAGTGAATAAACTCTTTGATATAGCAACTCTACCCTTCAGGATTGGGACTTTGAAGGAGTTGGGAGGGAGGGATAGATAGGATAGAGAAAGGTTAGAAGTGAGGTCAGAGGACACAAGATCACACAAACTCTAGGAAGCTGCTGAAGAAAAGAGAAGACAGAACAAAATGTACACAAGAACAGAACAAACTAACAGCAATAGGGAGGTTAGAGACTCATCACTTTCTTTTAAAACTATTGACAATCAAGAGAAGGAAAAAGGAAGAAAAGAAAAAATAAATTTGAATTAGGACAGGAACAGGAACAAAAAGGGAGAGAAATGAAGAACCAGGTGGGAGAAAGAATGAGAGAAAAGAGGGAAAAAAGGAAAAATTTGATAAAAAATAGATTAAAAATTTAAAATGATTAAAGATGAGAAAAACATAACTTTGAAAATAAAAAATAGAGGGCCTCCTTCAGGATATGCCTCTGTTGACACAATAAACAGCGTGGGCAGGAGTGGGCAGATCTAAGTTAATTAGTCTCAGTAAGCCAGCAGCTGTCCCCTGAGGTCCAGGCTGATTTCTGGCTGCAAGGCCCAAGTGAAGATCTCTGACCTTCTGCCGGGTTGAACTCTGCAAGGTTCTACTGCAGGTTCCAGCTGTCTTTCTCCCTGAAGTTAGACCAGGTTCTGATGCGAGGTGCTGGTTCCTCCAATTACCAACTACGGTGGTGTGGTGATCCTTTATCGCAGATTTTCTTCACTTCTCCAGTGGGCTTCAGTTTTCATCTAGGAGCCTCAGGGAGGCCCTCTTTCTGTTGTTCATGGGGGACAAACACACACACCCCACTGTGTTGGTGCCCACGTGGCTGGGCTTCTCTGCTCCTCTGTGCCAAAGGCCTGATTTTTAAAAAAGTAACAGGTTTATTAAGATGTAATTAATATATCAAACTATCCTTTTTCTTGGGGGGGTACCGGGGATCGAACTTGGGACCTTGCACTTTTGAGGCAGGCAACAGAACCACTGAGCTAAATCCCCAGCCCTTAACTATCCTTTTTAAAGTATGCAGTTGAATGGTTGTTAGTATATTTACAGTGCTGTGTATCTGTCGTCATTGTCTAATTCCGGATGTTTTCATCACCTGAAATGAAATCTCATACCCATTAGCAGTCACCAGCCCCTGGCATCTGATCTTCTACTTTCTGTCCTTGTGGATTTGTCTATTCTGAACATTTCACAAAAATGGGATCATACAATACATTTTCTTCTGTGCCTGGCCTCTTTCCTCAGTATAACATTTTCAAGGTTTATCCATGTTGGACTGTGAGTCTGTGCTTCATTCCTTTTTGTATTTGCTGTCCTGATGAGTCATGGTGTACAACATTTTGCTTATGCATTCACCCATCAGTGAACATTTGAGTTGTTTCCACTTTCTGGTTATAAATAATGCTGCTTATGAACATTCACATAAAAGTTTTTGTATGGACATAAATTTTCACTTTGCTTGGGTATAAACTTAGCAGTAGCATTGCAGGAGATATGGTAACCTGTTTAGCATTTTGAGGAACTGCCAGCCTGTTTTCCAAAGTTGCATCCTGCCAGTAGTGTTAGGATCCCCCCATCCTCACCAACACTTCCTATTTTCATCCTCGTGGAGGCGAAGTGGCTGAGATTTTTATTTGCATATCTTTGATGGCTCATGATGCTGAGCGTCTTTTCATGTGCTTATGGGCCACCTGAGTGCCTTCAAAAAAACCTGATATCCAACGATGAGTGTAACTACTATATACCTAAAAAGTACCGATAAACTTAATGGGGAAAAAACAAAGAAATCTGATAGATCCTTTCCTGTTTTACATGGGTTATCTTTTTACTGTTGAATTATAAAGTAGAGATGTCTAAGCCTCCTAGAAGGGCTCAGTGTTGCCCACTGTCTGACACTATCATGTGTACCGAGACATTTTGAAGTGTTTTATGTTTAGTCCTGTGCTGAGCATTTGGGTTGAGCAGCCCCAAGAGCCATTCACCCAGCTTTAGTGGTGTGCAAGGCTCAGTCTTTGGAACATGCTGGTGTACTTTCCAACAGAAGACACGACTCCAGACTCTGAAGGGGGCATCCCTGCTCTCATCGGACAGAGCTGTATTTTTCTTGGTGACACATCCAGGACCAGAAGTGGTAGCAGATCCACCTCTCATGCTGATCTATGTGCTTCCTCTGTTTTACCCAGAAGGTGCTAATCGGAAGAAAAATTTGCCCCCCAAAGTGCCCATCTCTCCAATGCCAAGGTATTCCATCATGGAGACTCCGGTGCTAAAGAAAGAACTGGACAGGTTGGTGCTGTTCTACGCTTGCTCATAAATGGGTCTTTTCCTTCCTCTGCATAACCAGGCTCAGCAAATCTGGGCGCTGAAGGATCCAGCATGTGGCCCTCCAGGTCTGGTGGCTGCAGGCTGCTGGCTGGGGAGGAAAGTTCTACAGTCTGCTCTGCAGGGTGCGTGTGGCTACTGAGTAGTGGGGTAAACTAGCTTCTCCATAGACTGATCCCACATTCCTGAGGATCATTAGACGTCAACAAATGAGCCTTCTTTGGGTTATGCACTGAGAGATAAGTTTCCACGCCCCTGTTGTTGGAAGTGGGACCCTATCCATGCAGTGTGAGTAAGGAGACCTCATTTTTAAAAGAATGTAAAAGCAGTCACATCCTAATGAATATTGCTATGCAACTTGGGCACCTGGGGAAGTTACTGCTCCCACCATCATACAGAATGCTGGGAGCATCTCCTATTGGAATATTCTTTTGTATAAGCTTAGATGGCACTACGACAGATGCTGACCTCTGTATGCTCATAAAAGTTGAACATGTATGGTTTGGACCCCACAAAGCCATTCCTTACATCTCTTGGTCCTTGATGTTTGGTCACATTTCATCTGTGTCCCTGGCAGGTTTGGAGTCCGTCCTCTTCCCAAACGCCAGATGGTTCTGAAACTGAAGGAGATTTTCCAGTACACTCACCAGACCCTGGAGTCAGATTCTGAGGAGGAGATGCAGTCCTCACAGGGGCTACAGGAGATGCCTTGCAGCCAGACCCTCTCCACTGAGACCTACAAGCCTTCCAGGGTGGGAGGCTGCATCTCACTAGAAGCCACTGAGGGTCTCAAGATCCAACAGTACCAGGGACCTCAACATCAGCAGAAGCCCAGCCAAAACATCCCACACCAGAGCAGGCCACCCGCTGAGAAGCCACCTGCGGGGTCTGATGTTGACACTCAGCTCCCAGCCTCCCAGGAATCTCTGGCCACCACTGTGGACAGCAGTGACAGCTCCTTCAGCTCACAAAGGTAACCAGGTGGAAGCAATGGTGTCATTGACATTATGTGACCTCTGACCAGCAGGTCTGAGAATGGGCATCAGGGAGGCTTAATAACCAGTGTTCTGAATCCCACTCCTGGGCTGAAACTGCAGGAAGCCCAGGCAGTTTAAAAGGCCATACCCTGAGCCCCCGACATGCCTTTAGAATCTGTCTTCCTTGCCCTGATGCCTATACTTTCTGGCTAAGGGGAACCCTGCCTAGGATGGCCCAGCTAGGGAGCCCCAAAACCACAGTAGCCTGTGGGACACCGTCAGGAGCAGCCCGCCTCCCTGGGTGGTTGACGCCGCTGTGTACCAGGCCCTGCAGAGCCATGGGAACTCTCCTTCCTTTCAAGGGTCTCCTGGTCTCAGGCCGGAGAGAAAAGGTGTCAAAATGTCTGTTCTTTTCAGTTCCTCCTGTGAGTTTGGAGCCACCTTGGAGTCTGCAGGTGAAGATGAGGAGGATGAGGGTGCAGGGGTCAGTGCATCCCAGGCAGCCAGCCAGGCACCAGACACGGAGGAAGCTGTGAGACGTTACATCCGCTCCAGGCCGGCGCTGTTCCGTAAGGTGCTCACGTACCAGCCACTCGAGCTGGCTGAACTGCAGGCTGAGCTGAAGCAGGATGGCATTCGCGTGGCCATGGGCAAGCTGCTGGACACCCTGGATGCCCTCTCCATCACCTTCACCACTGCCGCAGCCCGGAAGGAGAAGCTCAAGCAGAAGGGACAGCGGCAGAGGGGCAGGAAGAAAGCACGGAATTGACAGCCCTGCCCCTCCAGCAGCCTGTGGCTGTCTACAACCAGGACCCCTTACCCCCCTGGCCATCTGTAGGGAGGCCTAGCACCCAGCACCCAGCACCCAGGCTTCCACAGACACTCCAGGGCCTTGGGACAATGAAGGCCCTGACCCCCTCCCTTCTCTGGCCGCCTTCTGGTGTGGCGGCTGGAGCACGTCTCCCACTGTATGTATAGCCTTTCCCTCCCCTCTGTCAGTGCCACAGTCTCTCCTAGCAGGGCCCTATCCGTGAGTTCCCGAGGGGAAGGGGGCATGCCCACTGGCCAGCATGAGGCTGGATTCTGCCACCGTGTGTGCACTGGGCCCAGGTACAGTTGCCCCATGCATGTGTTCTGACAGGAAGGTCAGGTCCAGCTTACCCCAGCCCTCCAGCCATCTCAGCCACTACCAGCAGACCAGGCGACCACAGTCTTCCGTACTGCCACGCTCCAGGTGCAGCTCCTGGCCCAGCCATCCTGGCTAGACATTTGTCATCACCAGCAGTCTCTAAAGGACAGAGCAGAAAGCCCCAGCACAACTCTGTAGCCCTCAGAACAAGCATGTGTTTTGTTACCAGGATCTATCCTGTATTGAAGCCCTCTCCAGCACTAGCTAGAATGCACAGTGGGCCTCCGTATCCTGTGAATGTCCTTGTCTGTCTTAAACACAGCACAGTTGTTTTTATATGATGTGGAATAAAAACAAAGGCTTTGTAAAAACCTAGGTGCTATACTCCAGACGAGCCACGAGAATAGGCAGAAGCCTGAGGCTCCGCTGCGTGTCCAGTGTCCCCAGCCTTCTTTGTGCCTGTCTTTATCTCCCTACTTCCTTTGGTTTCTAGATAACAGATGCACACATTGATCTATTTCCACGTCCACGTCTGTTCTGCCTTCACCCACGTTGGGGCCCTCAGAGCATAGCTCCAGTACCTGCCACTCACAGTGAGGCCTGGGCCACAGCCCCAGCTCTGCTGAGGGCTACAACAAGGCACGATGGGGCTCAGCTGAGCCCAGTGGTCAACCTGCCTGTTAACAGGCTGAGGGCAAAGTGATGCCCGGCCGTGAACAGTGCATATGGAGAGCTCAGACACAAGCTGTCTTGCGGGCTTCCTGTCCATCTAGCAGAGGAGACAGATACAGCCCTGTTTCCTGCCTCGCCTACGAGTTGGGGCTTAGTGGCTGAAGGGTGGCATCAGGGACAGCTTCCTGGAAGAGAGGTTTGTGATCTGGGTCTTCAGAGTGAACAGCATGGAAAGATAAAAGTGGGCCTTCTTGAATTTGTAGTATTTGTGCTGGGTGTAACCAGATACAAAGAACCCAGTCCTGGATCATGGGGAAGCAGATTAGACAGAAGCCAAGGATTTTCGATCAGCTTTGATTGAGCTGAAAAGGGATTTAGGCTTGTTTTAAAAGACAGCCAGGCACTGGTGCACACCTGTAATCCAAGCACTTTGGGAGGCTAAGGCAGGGGAATTGCTGGTCTGACCCCAGTCTGGGCAATTTAGTGAGACCCTGTCTCCAAATAACAAAAAGGCTTAGGATGTGGCTTGTGGAAGTCGTGTGTTCAATCCCCAGTACTACCCCCGCAATACCATTTTTCTTCTACGAAAGGTTTGGTCCTACTTCCTAGAATAGATTGCTGAGGGACGCCAGATAAGGTATCAAGACAGGTCTCAGGATCTTAGATCGGCTCTGCAGGCTGTGTGGCCTGGACATGTGTGTCGTGTGCCCAAGGGTAGGAATGGTGGGGTCAACATCCTTGGAAGGGGTCCACGACCCAGAAGAAGTTACGAACCTCAGGGTATCCATGTCAGGGGAAGGGGTTAGAACTGATGAGCCAGATTAGTGTATCTTTTGAAGTGCGAAAAGCAGGGGACAGGGCCCGGTGACTAAACCTGAGCTTCGGCTTGACCTTGCTGAACTGGGTCTGCTCGGCTCCCTGGGCCTTCCTGGGGCTAACGGGAATGAACATGTACTGTGCCTGGCAAGGGACAGAGCTCTGGACCCAGAACCTGTGTATGAAGCAGCACTTCACTGTCAAATAATGAGCGAAGCAGCTGCTGCTTTCAGAAGGGAAAAGGAGTTAAAATGAGCCACTGCAGTAAAGGAACGGCCATTATCAGAGACGTGGTCCTCTCCGAGGCAAAAGCTTCACCTCTTCCACAAAAATTAAACAGAACTCAGGGATACAGAATGAGGTCCAGCCAGCTGCTTGAAAAGGAAAATGACAGTGCACAGCTGGTTTCTCTATGGGCAAAGGAGCCACCTCTCGGGCAAGGGGGCACAGTACTCTCTTCCAGAAGCTTCCTGCCCATGAGGGGGAATCACACGAGAGCCCTGAGTCTGCAGCAGAACACTCACTGGGCCCAACCACATCACCTGCACTTAGCTGATGTGACTAGACGTCTAGGCTTGCCCACTTCCTGTGACTACAGCCCCAGCCACGGCCCAGGCTTATCTGAGACCATGGCCCCACTCTCTGTGGCAAGGAGCTGCTGGCCTGAATAAGGGCTCACTGAGAAGGGCTTGGCACTGCAGTAAGAAGCCTTATGCTGTGGTGTAGTCAGGAGGGGCCGAGGCCACTACTTGGATGTGGATGGAATCCCAGAGCGAAAGCACTAGAGCCCCCTCCCCATCCACACCACCCACCAGCCAGGACCCAGGAAAATGGCTGTGTGGAAGGGCAGATGTTCCTGGGAAGATGGGAGGGGTGCCAGGATGTCCCCCAGGATCCCTGCAGAGAAGGCTTTTCATTCTCCTGCTCAGTATCCATCCATGGGGACCCTGAGGGAGGTAGAGTGAGTCCCTCTGTCTCCTTGCATGTGACAGACCTACCAGGCTCTTGTGGTTTCCGATATCCTGTGGGTGGCCTGGTTTTAGGCGCCTGCGCTGTACCCTATGATGGCTGCAGCCACCAGTTCTGCATTCTGCCTGCCTGGAGCTTCATCAGGTTCCAGAAGGGCCCCCTGGGGTGTCCTCCAGCACCTGGCTTGTTCTGGTGCTCAGGAAGCATCACTGAAAGGTGAAGGGAAAGGGAAGGCAGTCAGGGCAACACAGAGCAGCATTTCCCACCTGCCACCTCGGGTCCCTCCCTTTCATTGTGCTGGAGGAAGGAATGCCAGTCACCCGCTCTCTCCCACATCCTTAGACACAAGCTGTGGTGTGCATCTGAACTCATCAGTCTCCTGCTCTGCAGCCATCGCTGGCTCCCGCTTGGTTGCTGAGGAAAACTGACTCCAAAGCTCCCATCGGTCGGCTCCCACCTTGTCACTACTTCCCTCAATGGCTCCGTATGAAATGGCTTGCTCCCTGTCCCTGGAAGATGTTCAGTACATTTCCTTTACTGTAACTTTTCTCAGGCTGTTCACTCTGGGCCGTGTCCTGTCAGTACAGACTATGTGCTGGGGCCACACTTGATTTCCTGTCGTGCAAAGCCACATTCTATTGCTTCAGGGTGCAGGAGGCCCGCCCTCAGGGGCCTCGACTCACAAGACATTGTGGGATGCAGCTGGGCCATGCGCCTGTGAGTGACAGAAAAGGGCAGCGAGAGGGTTAGAGAAGGGAGAGCGGGCCAGGAGGTCTGCGAGCCAGGAAGTAGGTGCAGCATAGCCTTTCTCACCTGGATTCCTGACCACCTACCTAAAAGCGACTGTCAGCTGATGAGTCTGCCTTGCTTTTTGGAGGGTAGAGGGTGACATGTCCACTGCTTTGGCGCTGAACCACTTTCTGGTGAAATCAGGCCTGCAGGGACACTTGGTCCAACAATCAAGATGTCATCGTGCCTCCCCTCTTTAGACTTACAGGGTGGTAACAAAGCCAGAGATGTGAGCCCAGGGCAACCCCAGCTCGCTGATTTGTCATGAGGCTGTTGGCTTTTGAATCAGACAGGAAGGAAGGTTGAGGTGGAGCCCAGCACAGGAAGAGGTGAGGACCAGAGCTGCAGTGACAGCCGGTGGATTGGGTGGGGGCTGCAGGAGGGGGCATACCTGCCACCCCAGGCCCTTTGTGGTCAGCATCCAAGGTCCTGTGACCCCTGCAGGCCAGGTTTCCTCAGCTCTGGACAGATCCAAGGGCCTCAAGGCTTGGCTGGCCAGCCACAGCGACACCCAGGACACTCTGCTACCTGTCATCCCTGCATTAGGGCTCAGCTTAGGAGCAAGGGGATGGAGCCACCCAACACCTTGGCAACCCCGGAGCAGCAGCGAAGCACCACAGGTAAGGAGAGTCCAGGTGTCTCAGTGCAGACAGAGAACGGAAAGACAGAGACTCAGGCCTGAGCTGCTCTTGGTAGCAGGGAGACTCCGCGAAGCTGTCTTTGGGGTGCTGGAGCCGGGAGGTCAGACCAGTTAAGTATGGGTAAGCAAACATGTGCCTAGGGGGGCCTGGGGGAGCAGCTCTGCTCCCAGGCACCAGCGACAGCCAGCATCGCTGGAATCTTCAGACCCGACACCATCCCTCCTTCCCTGCCGGGGACCCAAGCAGCGGGCCTCCTCCTCTGCTACCTCTCATAGAATGAGGTAACATCTGTCCCAGGGGTCATGAGGCTCCAGGTCCAGTCACAGCTCCTGCCACACAGATGCTGCACAAGGTTGAGGTGCAGCACCTAGCTATCTCCCAGATGCACCCTCAGGTAAGATGAGGCTTGTCATTCTGAGGGCTAAGCACAGAGGCCTTCTGAAATAGGCCCCGCTGGGCTGTGCTGGAGTGTTGGCCACAGGGTGCTCCCCACCGCAGGCCCCTCCCGGTTCCCACCCTGGAGGCAGGTGCTTCCCTTAGCTGGGGGTCTCCTTGTCGGCCCGGGCTGCAGGCTGAACACCTGGCTCCTGCCTGAAGTGCAGGCCCCAGCCTCTGGCTGCCCTCCCCTGGGATTTCTGGGTCACAGTAGTTGGGTGCATCTTGAGAGCAAGTGCTACTTCCTCCTGCCTTCAGGAAGGCTGCCCTTGGCAGGACCACCCAGGAGGGCTGAACACTGATTTCCAGGCCTGGAAAGGGACCAGGTCTGCAGCTCTGGTCCTCACCTCTTCCTGTGCTGGACTCCACCTGAACCTTCCTTCCTGTCTCATTCAAACGCCAACAGCCTCATGACAAATCAGGACGAGGGAAAGGGATGAGGGGGTCAGGACAGCAGGGAACTCAAGGAGCTTTGGCCAGCTACACAGGCAGCCTGGTGTTGGGTGGCAGCATGGAGGCCACACCCAGGGCCCCAAACTCAGGTGGGCAGAGCCAGGGCCAGCCACTTAGGAAGGGACCCAGCAGTCTCAGACAAGGACTGAATCTCTGGTAGGGCAGCATAAGAAAGAAATGGGGCCTGGTGGCAGAGCCAGGGAACCTGGACCTTCTCAGGAGTCAGGTCAAAGCCCAGGTGTTGAACTTGAGGGACTGGATCTGAGTCACACCAATACCAGGGAGGTCCTCGGATCCATCCCTACACATAGAGTCTGGGACCAGCCACAGGATGCCAGCAAGGCTCCCAAAGAGGCAGCAGTGGCCATCTACTGGTCCCTCTAGCCCTGACCTGCCCGCTATAGCTCAGGGCCTCTGTTGACTGACCTCTGTCCTTCTGATCCTCCAAGATGACCTGAAGTCCATCTGTCCTTTCCTCTCTGTGGGCTGGATTTTCAGCTCCCTTGGAGGCCACTGTTCAGGTGAGTGTGACTGTCCCTGGTGCCTCCCGACATCACCAGCTCAGAGGTCTGCAGCTGGGGCCCCCTGTAGCCGTTCAGGACACCCAGGCAGCCAGCCCAGTCAGTCTTGGGCTGGGTTCTGGGTCGTCCTGCACCTTCTTGCTGCCCTTGTAGGAGAAGGTGTCCCGATTTGAAGAGGGTGAAGGCCTTGTCTGAATGGGGTTTGAGCAGAAGTGTTAGATAAAATACCAGACACCCGGGAAACGTGAATTTTGGATAAATGAATGATAAATTTTATAGTATATCTCAAACATTGTAAGGGATACACTTGTTCTAAAATTTTTTGTTGTTCAATCAAAATTCAGATTCATCTTGAATTCATTGTGTGTTTTAATGTGCTAAACCTGGCAATTTTAGGTCAAGGGCAGTGGGGCAACAAGGACACGGGGTGCTCAGGAGGAGTGCTGGACCTCAACACGGGGAGACTCACTGGGCACACGGGTGGGCACTGGCGGGGAGCCGCCCTTCCCAGGTGCCCATGCCCACGTTCACCTGTTGCTGTCTCTCTCCGCTTCCTCTGGGCTCCTGCAGATGCCCAGGGAACTCAAAACAGGGGCACGTCGGGGCCCCACTCCAGACTAGAGAGATTCCAGGGTGAAATGGCTCAAGCAGTGGGCTCGTAGTTAAAAGACCATGCGATGCAGCAGTCCCTGTCCCGGATGCACACCCAAAAAGCCTGAGGATGGGGTCTGCACCCTCGCTTCACAGCAACATAATTCACTGTAACCAAAAGGTAGGAGTTACCTAGGTGTCCATCGCTGCACGATGCTTAGACAAACCGTGTCCAACCTACCATGAACGATCACTCAGCCCCTGAAAGAAATGCGGTTCTGACCCATGCGGTGTCTGTGGACATCGTGCTGAGTGAAAGGAGCCAAAGGACGAATACCACGGCTCTGCTCAGGAAACCCCTAGAGTGGTCAAAGTCAGAGGCAGAGCATGGTGTGCCCGAGACCAGAGGGGAACAGGAGTTGCTGTTACATGGGGACTTTCAGGGCTTCTGCTGCTTTGTGTTGTGGTGTTGGGACTGAACCCAAGGTCAGGCAGGTACTGTGCCACTGAGAGACGTTCCTCACCTCAGAATTTCGGACAAAAGAGTTCTGCAAATGGATGGTGATGGTCGCGCTTCAACATGAAGGTAATCAATGCTATGGCATTGTATACTGAAATGATTGTAAAGGAAATGGTGGGGTAGGTGTATTTTACCACAGTTTAAAAAATTAAATTAGAAAACTGATGCTCCAAGCCAGGCACAGTGGCGCATTCCTGCACACTCTGAGTGCTGGGAAGCTGAGGCAGGAAGATTACAAGTTCAAGTCTGACCTGAGCAATTTAGTGACTTAGTGAGACCTGTCTCAAAACAAAAAATATGAAAAGGGATGGGGATGTAACTCAGTGCAAAGGATCTGGGTTCAACCCCTAGTATAAAACAAATCAAAAATCAATAAACAAACAAATAAACAAATGAAACTAATGCTCCAGATAATACCCAGCTAAAACATGGTCCCCCAAACCCCTAAACTTCCCCGGCCAGACCACCCGCCCCCGGGAGCAGCAGCTGGTCACCTGTGAACGCACCTTGACAACCCACAAGTGGCTGTGTCCACCCCGAGCCATACCTTGACATCACCTGATGGAGACAGGGCAGAGGCCACTGGCACTGAGGCTGGTGTCGCATCGCCTCCTTTTGATCTACGTGCACTCGGGTGTTCAGATAGATGCCAGCTGAGCTTCTTACACAAGTACAGTGAGCTCCACCCAGAGCAATACGTAGGAATTTCCAGCGCCATACAGTGCTCTGACCTACCCCCAGGGTGACTGCTGTACTGTATTTTGTTTTGTTTTGCAGTAGTGGGGAATGAACCTAGGGCCTTTGCATTGAACCAAATCTTCAGCTCTTTTTATAATTTTTTTGTTTTTTGTACTGGGGATCAATTTCGGCCGCTTGCGCTTGCAAGGCAGGTGGTGAAATGACGGATCCAAATTCCCTGTCCACTTTTTATAATTTTTTGAGACAAGGTCTCACTAAGTTGCTAAGTGGCCCAGACTAGGCTTGAACATGTTATCTATCCTCCTGTCTCAGCCTCCTAGAATGCTGCGGCTACAGATATACAGTACCACACTTGGCTGTTTTTCTCTTTTCTTTCTTTTTTTTTTTTTTTTGGTACCAAGATTTGAACTCAGGACCTTGCACTTGTGAGGCAGGCATGGTGCCACTGAGTTAAACCCCCAGCCCTCATCATGCTACTTTTTAAGGAACAGACATTTCTAATTTTTGTTAGTGTGCTGCTGAGAATGGAACCCAGAGCCATAGGCAAGTGCTCTACCACTGAGCTCTCTCTCTCTCTCTCTCTCTGTTTCTCCTTCCTTCCTCCCTCCCTTCCTTTCTTTTTCCTTCCTTCCTTTTATTTTTTGTATGTAGGGTTGGTGCTAGGGATTGAGCCTCATGCAAACTAGGCAAATGTACTGCTGCTGAGCTACACTTGTAGCCCGACTTTCTTTTTTCTTCTCTTTTTCATTGAGTTTATTGGTACTTTTAAAGTATACAATACAATTATATTCATCACTGGAATCTTGGAACTTCAAGGTAAGATCTTGGTTCTCATTTTCTCCCTATGCCCCTGCCCTCCCTTTACCCCCTCCAACCTCCCCTATTTGCAAAGACTTTGTTTCCATTTTTTCCTTTTCTCATACTTTTTTCCTTTCCCCGTATTTCCTTTCCCCTACCCTTCCCACTTCCCCTACAACTTTTGCCCTTTTCTTCCTATTTCACATTGTCAGTTATACAATTTGGATCTTATTCACACTTTTAGTTTTTCACGCCAGAGAAACTATTTGGTATTTACATGTGTCTTATTTATTTCACTTAAGAGTATGGCCTAATATGCATCCATTTTCCTATGAATGACTCTAGGTTTTCTTTCCTTCTTTTCTTTTTTTTTGTGTGTGGTATTGGGGATCAAACTCGGGTCTTTGTGCTTATGAGGCTGGCAGTGTAACCACTAGGCTAATCCCCAGCCCAAGTTTCTTGTTCTATGGCTGAGTAGTATTCCACTTTA